AACCAGTTTTTCTGGCTCTGGAGTTGGGCTGACCTTTGCTAAGCTGACCACAGGATAAACTGCCTCCTGGGTGGTCTTTTTCATTTTGATAATGCTAAGCTTGGGACAAACAGATGCTCCTAATAAAAACAATAACAACAATAGCAGCTAGAAATTACTGGATACTTACACATCTGGGACTGGCTCAATGCTTCATGCATGTGACATGATCCTTGGAACCCTGAGAGGCAGCTATCATCATCATTGTTATCCAATTTTATAGATGGAGAAATGGAGGTTAATAACTTACCAACAGTCACCCTACTGCAGAAGCAGTAGAACCAAGAAAGAGACCCAAGTGTATCCGCCTCCAGAACCCATGGAACTCCACATCCATCACGTCAAAAAGAAGTCGCTGCTATTTGCTCCTCCACGTCCCTCTGCTCCTGCAGTTCTTGTTTGCAACAGGGACTGAGCCATGTAGCTATGTAGCTGTGTGTGGGCTCTCTGCCCTTGCCATTGTCTCTTTCCTGGCAGTGACTTATTCAAACCAGCCCTGAAGGAGTAGTGATTGCCAGGTGCCTCTTATGGGGACTCCTGACCAGGACTGCCAATAAGTGGTCCTCAACTCATCTGTCTGTGGCTACCTTCCGATCTGGCTCAGGGGGCTTTGGGGGCTTGATGCTTACCCTGTTTGTTTGTTCAGGTGTTAACAATAACCCTATCTCTGGCTGCCTGCACTCACAGCTTCCTCCTCTCACTTCCACATGGAAGCCTCTTTCAATGGTTGATGTTCCTTGATGACCTTCTAGAGGTTGCATCTCTCCAGGGCTTGCTCCTACCATGACATAGTCCACTGGCTGGGAGAATGCCTTGTTCATCCTTCTTCTATCCCTGAGAATCACCACACTGAAATTTCTTTCCCACTCTCCCCATCCTTGCCAAATGCCCCCTTCCCTTTCTGTTGTCCCATCCTCAGCTGACCCTCATTCAGCCGCCATCCAATCCCTCCACCTCCACGAGCCTTCATGGACAATTCCGCATCGCAGTCTTCTCCATCTGACCACCAGCCATATTCACCAGCAGTTGACAGCCCTTGGCAGATTCTCTAATTGTGTCCCATGGAGATTCACAGATAGCCTGTTTCTCATGGCTTTCTGTCTCTCTTCTTTGCTCTATCTTATCTGGTTCTACTTCAGTGTGTCTTTGCTCTGCTTCAAGTGAAGGTTGCAAATGAATGAAATAATTGAGGAATTCTCCCGCCAGCTCTGAGGGAAATGGGACTGGGTACAATCATCCCCAGGTATCCTCCGGGGATTGCTTCCAGAGCTCCTGCAGGTGCCAAAACCCACTGATGCTCAATCTCTTCTATAAAATGGTATACTGTTTGAATGTAATCTACTACATCTAGCCTTCCATAGACTTTCAATCATATCTGGATTACTTATTATATCTAATACACTGTGAACGCTGTGGAAGTAGTTGTCACACTGTATTGTGTAGAGAATGGTGACAAGAAACCAAAGTCTGTACCTGTCCAGGGTCATTTGCTGTCTCTCTGCTTGAAACAATACAAATGGGATTGTTGGAAAATAAGAGGAGAGAGTTCTCTCTCCTCTCTCTCTCCTCCCTTCTTCGAGACATGGGCCACTTTGCAGTTTGGTTAACTGGCCTTAGCTTGGCCCCATTTGGGATGTGGCGATGGGTGGATGTCTTTGTCACCTGAACTTATCAGACCACACAGAGAAGATCCTTAGCCATGCAGACTGAAGGAAGTGGGGAGGGGAGCCCTGATAATGAAGCTGTCAGATGTCAGATGGAGCTTGAGTAGGGCTAGGGAGCCTGGCTGTCACTAGGAGCTGACAAGATCACATATAGGATTCCCTGAGAAAGTCAACGAGATTGGCTTTGCCTGGTAGAGACCAAAGAAATGCTGTGATTTCTGGGGTGGGGGGTGCTTAACATTCACCCACCCACTCACTCCCCTGCCTAGCTGGTCCTCAATATTACGTGTATTCCTTTGAATGGGGCAGAATCTTCAATTTCACAAATAAAGTAACACATGGAAGGCAAACATTTCTTTTTTAAAAAAGATTTTTTTATTTTATTTTAAACAGAGAGTTGGCGGGGGGGAGGTAGAGAGATCTTCCATCCACTGGTTCACTCCCTAAATGACCTTAACAGCTGGGGTTGCTCGATGTTGAAGTCAAGAGATAGGAATCTTCTTCCAGGTCTCCCATGTGGGTGCAAGGGCCCAAGCACTTAGGCCATGTTCCACTGCTTTCCCAGGTGCCTTAGCAGGGAGCTGGATTGGAAATGGAGCAACCAGGACTCGAACCAGTGCCGATATGGGATGCAGGTGTTGCAGGCAGCAGCTTTACCCACTATGCCACAACACTGGCCCCCAAATATAATTTCTAAAGGAAAGAAATCTATGGATTGAATTGACAATGAGGTTACGTTCATGGAGTCAACTGGAAGGACATTCCCTGGAAGATCTCAGGCAAGAGATCACCCTGAGAAAGGAAAAATGTTCTCTAAATTCGTTTGCAGGGCCAGGGCTGTGGTATAGTGGGTAAAGCCACCGCCTGCAGTACTGGCATCCCATATGTGCACCCATTTGGTTCCCCGCTGCTTCACTTCTGATCCAGCTCTCTGCTATGGTCTGGGAAAGCAGTAGAAGATGCTCCTAGCTCCTGACTTCGGATCGGCACAGCTCCAGCCATTGTGGCCAATTGGGGAGTGAACCAGCGGATGGAAGACCTCTCTCTCTCTCTCTCTCTCTCTCTCTCTCTCTCTGTGCCTCTCCTTCTCTCTCTGTATAACTCTGACTTTCAAGTAAATTAATAAATCTTTAATAAATAGATAAATTCACTTGCATGATGTGAAAATGACACATGAGGGTACTTGCAGAGAAAAAAGGAAGAGAATATGCTAATAGACCCTTAAAATAGAGTAGCACTTGGGATCAGAGGTAAGGGGAAGTAGACCCTGATATCAAAGAAAAGTTGGCAAAAACCCATTGAAACCATCCCATTAGAAAAAAAAAAGTTTACTATGACACAACTATGAGAAACTGTTAACAGGTTTTAGGTAAATAGCTATTTTATATTACTCTCTATACTCTTCTATTATTTTGATTTTTTTATAGTTAAAACTGTGCAAGGAGGAATTTAAAACAAAGTTCCCATCCATAGAATGGGATACATGCAGCTGTTAAAAAAAAAATGATCTCTCTCCTGTCACCTGGAAAGATCTCCAGTAAACACCACAGAGTGAAGAGAAACAGAAAGCAGGTTTCAGAGCAGTGCATGTCTCATTATATGCAGAGTTACATCTGCAAGAGACCACAAAGCATTAGGAGGAGGTGGATGTTGTATGTTAAGTGTTTTCGTTGGTATGACTATTTATGAGGAGCCTTTATTACATTTATAATCATAGCAAAGCAGCGATGACTTTGGCCAATGACCTGTGGAGCAGAAATGCTGGTCTCCAAGCCGTTCCAGGTTAGTGGGCCGCCCCTTGGGCCAGCAATGGAGTTTCCACTTACTCTGTCCTTGCCTGGCCCCTTTCCTGATCTGACACTTGGATGTCTGCATGAGGGGTCTGTGACAGATGCCAGCAGGCATGGTGGTGACAAGCCCAAAGCTGTGTTTGTTCCATTACTTCCAGCTCCTCGTGGCCCTCCCATTCTGCACACCGAGCGCTCCTTTCTCTTATCTACACGAGGCAAGAGTTAAAAGTGCTTGTCAGTGTGATTGCAGAATACCGGACTGGAAAACTTCCTGATAATACCTACATTCCTTTCAAAGAGCAGTGCTTGAAATTGGGTCAGGAGCGCTCTGTGGCTTAGAACATTGTGTACTGTGCAGCTGGATAATAAACCAGAAGAAATTTGGCAATAAAAAAAAATGTAAGGGACATACAAGGATGTCGTGATAGTCCTATCTGGTCTGACAATCCTTGTCCCCAAGCTAATTTAAATCTGCACCCTTACAAACATCATACTGTCCACATGTGTGAGCCATTGAGGATTTCCAAGACAGACACAAAGATAGGAGGACTCAGAAGAAAATCCAAACAGTAAAACAATAAGGATCAAGTTAAGGTTTCCAAGACGCATTTATGACTTTCATAAACAGTCATGCATTAGTTGAATTGCTCAGTGGGATACTGGGGTGACATTAGCTAATTTAAACTGAGAACCCATCCTGACTTATCCTTATTAGCGAAGTTTGCTAAACAGTTTGTGATGTGGGCTCTGCTTTCTGTTTGAGATGCTGCAAATGGCGTGTTGTCATCTCGGCTCTCTCTAGCTGTTAGAACTAAAGGAGATGGGGCGCTCTCCTTTGATCTCATTGTCCCTCCTCATCCCTTTTTTTTTTTTTTTTTGACAGAGTGGACAGTGAGAGAGAGAGACAGAGAGAAAGGTCTTCCTTTTGCCATTGGTTCACCCTCCAATGACCACCACGGCCAGCGCACTGCGGTGGGCACACCGCGCTGATCTGAAGGCAGGAGCCAGGTGCTTCTCCTGGTCTCCCATGGGGTGCAGGGTCCAAGCACTTGGGCCATCCTCCACTGCACTCCCGGGCCACAGCAGAGAGCTGGCCTGGAAGAGGGGCAACCGGGACAGAATCCGGTGCCCCTACTGGGACTAGAACCTGGGGTGCCAGCGCTGCAGGCGGAGGATTAGCCTAGTGAGCCGCGGTGCCGGCCTTCATCCCTTTTTCTTTCCCTACCTCCCCGTTCCATTTCCCAGAAGTATGGGTTCCTGTAAGAAATGCATAAATCTGATAGCAAAGTTGAACAAATAATGATGGGCCTACAGCCCACTTCTGTAAGCACACATTCCCATCTGGGAAACCCAATGATTTAAAATGGATCTTCCCTCTTACCTGAACTCAGAGAAAATCGGGGCAGAGAGAGGTGTGCTTCTCATGGCAACAGTGCACAGAAGCATCCTAAGAGCCCTTGGATGCTCTGTAGCCGCTGACCCGAATGTCGGGGTTTCACTCCCACAGGTAACCAGGTGAACTTCTCCAAACCAGCAGATGCGTTTGCCTTTGAAGAGGACAGCAGCAGTGATGGGCTTTCTCCGGATCAGACTCGAACTGAAGATGCCCAGGGCTCAGCAGGGTCCCCACCTGACACTAAGACCTCAGAGACCCCTTTGGCCGGCCCTCCGGGGGCGATCCAGGTAAGCCAACTGCACCTGCAGGTGTCCTGTCTTCAGTCTTGAAATCAACGTGGCATGGCCAGTTTTTTGGGAGACCCCTGAAGTGTCCCTGATGGTAGGGGCTTCATTGTGGGACCCTCTGTCACCCTATTCAGCTGGGGACCCAAAGCAAGTGACCGAGGCCTCCAGAAAACGCTGTCAGAGAATCCCCAGGACTGCACTTGGGATTTTCTTTAGAGCTTCTATTCTGCAGACTAAATGCCTTCGCTCTCCATGTTCATGGGCAAGGTCACTGAGGCTCAATGAGCTTCAATGACTCACCAACAATCTCCCAGCTAGAAAGTACCAGAGCAGGACTGATTTCAAAGTCCACACAATGAGGAGTCCCTGTGGAGACTCAGGTGAGATGTAGCACTGGCAAGTTCCTACCTGCTGAGCCACATGACAAAGCCAACTTGCAGCCCCAGCTCAACCATGGCACTCACCTGGGTCAGGATCAAGCCACAGACCCACAAGAATGATATTATGTGTGTGTGTGTATGTATTGAAAACACACTTAAAACACATTTGCAAAGAATACTGAGAGGCCGCATGTGAGACACTAATTAGGTCACCCTCATTTGAGGGTGCTCCTGGCTCCAGCATCCAGCCCTGGGAGGCAGCAGATTCAACTTCTTGAGTCTCTGCTACCCATGTGGGAGACCTGGTTTGAGTTCCTGGCCCTTGGCTTTGTCCTTGGCCCAGTCCTATCCATCACAGGCATTTGAGAAGCTAACCAGTGGATGGAAGATTCCCTCCCTCCCTCCCTCTCATCAGTAAATAAAAAGAATAATGATGATTATGAACAACAGCTACTGCTAGGATGCACACTCTGGGCCAGGGGTAGTCCTGGGCACTTGACAACCTTGACATTTGAGGTCTACGGCCACTCCAGGTAGGCATCATCGATGTCAATTCTGGCAGAGGCTGAGTAAGAGTCACCTCAGGGATCACTGTCCATGTCAGCAACCCTGGAGAGTCCACCTTTAAAAGCCCCATGCAGGCTTGATGGGGATTATCTTTGGCCTTACGTGATGGTGATCATGTAGTCCCCAGGAGGAAATATGCATGGTGGTCCACACATGAGGGAGAAGGAGCTGTCCTACTGTGGGAGTGAGATGCACCTGGCTCTGCTGTGGACCATCTCTGGAAAAACCAGCCAACCTTACCCTTCCTGTTAGAAGGAGTCTCTTGGGCCAGAACGGTGGTGCAGCAGGTTAAAGCCCCAGCCTGCAGCATGGTCATCTCATATGAGTGCCGGTTCTAGTCCCATCTGCTCCTCTTCCAATCCAGCTCCCTGCTGTGGCCTGGGAAAGCAGGAGAAGATGGCCCAAGTCCTTGGGCCCCTGCACCCACATAGGAGACCCAGAAGAAGCTCCTGGCTTTGTATCGGCCCAGCTCTGGCCATTGCGGCCATCTGGGGAATGAACCAGCAGAAAGAAGGAAGACCTTTTTCTCTGTAACTCTCTCAAATAAATAAATAAAATCGTTCAAAAAAAAAAAAAAAAAGGAGTCTCCTCCTCTCAGACCTTCAGGGGCTATGCAACAGACTGAAATTAAACACCAAGGCTGAGCATCTTTCCTTCAAAATGCGTGGGACTGGACATGTGTCCCAATTTCACATTTTGGAAGATTTTGTGTGTGAATATACACAATGAGACATCTTGGGGAGGAGACCCAAACCTACGCATAAAATTCATTCATGTTTCATCCACACCTTATGCACACGGCCTGGAGGCAATACTTATTGGACAGTATCTTTTAACAACTTTGTGCAGAGTTTCATGGTGTAAAATTTTCCACTCTTGCCATCCCGTGGCACTCAGGAAGTTTCCGATTTTGGATTCTGGAGTTTTGCATACAGATGCCCAATCTGTATTTGAAAACTGCATCACACGTAAAACAGGGACAGATCGCCTACGTTATCATCCAGGGTTTCCCAAGACCGTGGTAATGACCGGTCCTTGTCACCTCGTCTTTACTCCATCAGAGCAAACCTAAAGCTACCAAGGAGAAGATGTGGAAGGAGAGGGAAGGGGGAAAAGGGGGGAAAAAAAGCAGAAAAATACACCCATTTATTGGGCAAGAGTTCATAATCAAAGCATTCTTCCTACCCTGCACGCCCGCTGCTCGCCTTGGCTGCCAAGCTCCCCTGATAACATCAAACGGTATCTCAGGCCATTTGTACGGATTATTCTGACAGTAAATTCCTCAGCTGCTGATTTAAGAATGGCTGGAGAAGAAGACAAGTTCTTTTCTGTTAACCCTAGGAGAGGGGACGGAGGGAACCAGTGCTGAGCAGTGCCGGGCGCCATGTAAACGCTGTTTGCCTTCGTTTTCTCTCCGCAGTGATGTTGGGCAGAGGAGGGTGCTGAGTCTCTGAGAGAAGAGAGTCCCACAGGTCTTCAGCTCAGGGAAGAACTGAGCTGTCAGTTCTGATCCCCTAGTGACCCATCTTAAGCAGCTCTATCTTCTTCTTCTTCTTCTTCTTTTTTTTTGAAAGGCAAAGAGACAGAGATCTTCCATCCACTGGTTTCACTCCCCAGATGCCCATAACAGCAGCAGTTAAGCCTCCACCTTTTTGACTTTGTGTCAAAAGTCCCAGCATAAGAATAATAGGAGAGGGGACTGCCCGTTTGTGGAGCAGCAGGTTAAGCCACCACCTGTGACACCAGCAGCCCATATGAGCACGATGCCAGTCCTGGCTGCTCTGCTTCCAGCAGTATCCTGGGAAGTCAGCTTAAAATGGCCCCTGCACCCATGTAGGAGACCAGGATGGAATTTCTGGCTCCTGCCTGAGGCCTGGCCCAGCCCAGACTGTAGCAGCAATTTGGAGAGTGAAAAGCAGTAGAGAGAAGATCTCTTTCTGTCTCTGCTTCTGTCTGTCACTCTGCCTTTCTAATAAATAAAAATGAAATCTTTTTTTTAATTTTTTGAAGATTTTATTTATTTTTATTTATTTAGAGGTAGAGTTACATACAGTGAGAGGGAGAGACAGAGAAAGGTCTCCCATCCATTGGTTCACTCCCCAAATGGCAGCAATAGCCAGAGCTGGGCTGATCCAAAGCCAGGAGCCATGTGCTTCTTCCCAATCCCCTATGTGGTTGCAGGGACCCAAGGACTTGGGCCATCTTGTACTGCTTTTCTAGGCCGTAGCAGAGAACTGGATTGGAAGAGGGACAGCCGGGACTTGAACCGGCATCCATATGGGGTGCCAGCACTGCAGGCAGAGGATTAACCTACTGCGCCACGGTGCCAGCCCCATAAAAATTAAATCTTTAAAAATGAAGAATGGAGAGGAAGAGAACATAGAATCCTGTGCTGACATAAACATGCCTCTCATAAAAATTTGTCATGACTGCATGCACACACACACACGCCACATGTGTATATACACACACACATATGCACAGAGACATGCATATATTTATATATACACATACTTATATATCCTGCACACATACACATGCATGTACACACTTAGACATATTCACACACATACATAGATATATACACACATGTACTTATCCATATATACACAGTACACATACATATTTAGACACACATATATATTCACACATAACCTTCATGGGTGTGCACACATACACATACAGTTTCCCTCCATCTGCTGGCGTCATTTTCTTCTGCCTTGTTGTCCTACTGTCCACCAAATTCCTACATTCACTCTTCCTTTCTTGTTCAATCCCATTATCAAGCGTAGCAGGTGTACCTTGCCACAGAGGGGGAGCCCTCACATGGGCTGATCAGATGCCCCAGTTGGATTAGAACCTGTCAGTTTCACACCTACATTCTGGAATCATGATTAAGAAGGTTCCCTTTCTCTCTCAGAAGTATCCCTAATTGGATGTCCAATTATATATGAATATATAACCCCTACTTCTCAGGGGAAAGGTAAAATTTGATATTTGCTTGGATACGGAGCAGCAGAGTGTAGGGGGCTCTGCTTTGACATTAATAAGTCATTCAACTATTATTTAAATGTTTATGCATTTTATTTATTTGAAAGGCAGAGTCAGAGAGAGAGAGAGAGAGAGAGAGAGAGAGATCTTTCATCTGCTGGTTCACTCCCCAAAATGGCTGCAACAACCAGGGCTAAGCCAGGCAGAAGCCAGAGGGAGCCAGGAACTCCTTCGGGGTCTCCCATATGCATGGTAGGGTCCAAGACTTGAGCCATCATCTGCTACCTCCCAGGATGCATTAGCAGGAAGCTGGATTGGAAGTGGAGTAGCCAGGACTCTGATAGGGGATGCAGGCATCCTAAGCAATGGCTTAACCCACTGCACCGCAATGCCTGCCATACTTTCATTCTTATATTCTAATAATGTGAAAATTTGGATTTCAGGATCTTGCTTCTGGCTCAGACAATGACAAGAATGACTCCACCTCACAGCCCAGCAACCATTCAGACCCGGGGAAGCAGGGCCTTGGCCCCCTCAGCGCTCCCATCCCTGTGCACGCTGCTGTAAAGGTATGGACCGTGCCCAGGCACAGCTCAGAACCAGCTCACAGCAGACGGCTCCGAGTTAGGTCTGGTGACATGGGGAGAGACATCTGGATGCACACATGACTTCACTCCCTGGGAAAAGTTGCAAAACAGGGGCGGGGAATCACCATGGGTGTACGTCTTCTCTAAGTGGGAAAGTCTGAAGGTTTGGATGTCTTTGGAATCACGATTCAGCCTGCATGTTCCTGACCACAAATTCCAAGAGTGCACCCTCGAGGTAGACACAGCTGAAAGGAAGGCACACAGGACTTGTAAGCGCTGTAAGATAGGGATGGGGGCAATTGGATTGTATGCCAGAGAAGCTCCCTGAAGACCTTGCATAATGTAAAATCCAAGTTAAATCTATGGGAAGGAGGTTCATTCATAGCAGACAAACAGCTGTAATGATTGCAGTATAATTTTATGTAATTCTATCAGTTCAGGGTACTTTATTTTCACTTAACTCCTTGCTAGGCATTTGGTCTTCTTCATAACAATTTTTTAAAGATTTATTTATTTATTTGAAAGACAGAGTTACAGAGAGGGAGAGACAGAGAGAGAGGTCTTCCATCTGCTGGTTTACTCCCCAGATGGCCACAACAGCCAGAGCTGTGCCGATCCTAAGCCAGGAGCTTCTTCTGGGTCTCCAACACAGGTGCAGGTGCCCAAGGACTAGGACTTGAGCCATCTTCTACTGCCTTCCCAGGCCATGGTAGAGAGCTGCATCAGAAATGGAACAGCTGAGACTTGAACCGGCGCTCACATGGGATGCCAGCACTACAGGCGGCAGCTTTACCCACTTTGCCACAGCGCTGACCCCCTTCATAACAGTTTAATCCTACCTAACTTGTAATTGATTTGGGAACATGCTTTCTCGGCTCCAGTTCAACCTCTTAATAGATGCTGGGATGACTCTTAAGGGATTTAAAAATAAATATATAAAAGGATTGCGAGTTGAATTAAGAATCAATGATAAAATAGCAGTTGCACGTTCTAAATGAATGGTAAGCATTTCAGTTTCCTAGTAAAGCTCCCTATCCCTTCCCTCCACACACACACACACACACACACACACACACACCACAGTAGCTTAAACCCAGCTTGCAGTACACTCAGCTCAACAGCTTTGAAATCAGATGACTGTTGATGACTGTTGGGTGTGGCCAGGGAAGGAGATGGAGATGACTTTGCATTGCTTCCAATGTTAGATAGATATAGAGACATCTTATTAATATTCCCATCACACAGTATTTAAATTTTTGCAGAACTCAAATTGGCCAAATCATCAACCTTACTGTACTAAGGAAGTGTGACGGGATCCCCGAGAAACAACTGACCATGTTCACTGAAGAGTGAGACTGATTGTGAGGCTGATTCCAGTACCTGAATGTGGAAGAGCCATCATCCCTTCTGACAGATTGGCCAGTGCCTATGCATCTCAGTTGTTAAATACCCATCGCCTCGGCCGGCGCCGTGGCTCACTAGGCTAATCCTCCGCCTTGCGGCGCCGGCACACCGGGTTCTAGTCCCAGTCGGGGCGCCGGATTCTGTCCCGGTTGCTCCTCTTCCAGGCCAGCTCTCTGCTGTGGCCCGGGAGTTCAGTGGAGGATGGCCCAAGTGCTTGGGCCCTGCACCCCATGGGAGACCAGGAGAAGTACCTGGCTCCTGCCATCAGATCAGCGCGGTGCACCGGCCACAGCATGCCGGCCGCATCAGCGGGGTGCGCCGGCCGCAGCGGCCATTGGAAGACCTTTCTCTCTGTCTCTCTCTCTCACTGTTCACTCTGCCTGTCAAAAAAAAAAAAAAATACCCATCACCTCTCAGTTAAGAGCCTGATAGAGGACTCCTCAAAGAAGGAGGCCACAGAGCTCGGGGAGAGCAACTTGCCTGGCTTTGTAAGATTCTCCTGAGAGAGACCAGTGAGAGAATGCACAAGCACACCCTGCGAGACAGCGAACATGCTTTGTGAAAAGAAAGGCACTGTGCCATCTCTGATAGGGTGTCTGTAAGGGCAGAATAAGACGTGATCCTGCCCTCAAGGAGCCTATAGTCCAGTTGGTTTATCAGGCTCAAATGTTGTTTTCTGCAGGTCAGAACAATCTGCCCCCAAAGGGTTTGCTTATCCCCCAAAATACACACATGGTCACCTGGCACATGAAAAGATTCTCAGGGTCGTCAGGTGTCATTGGGAAATGCAAACCAAAACCACAAGGCAACGCCCTTTCACACCCAGTAGGGCGACTTCCATCACAAATAGGGAAAACAGCAAGCATTGCTGAGAGTGTGGGGAAACTGGAAGCTTCTTACCCTGCTGATGGAAATGTAACATCGCGGGAAAGAGTTCGGCAGTTCCTCAATAATCTCCATAGAAAATTACCACGTGACCCAGTCATTGTACTCCCGGTGTACAAATGAGGGGACTTCAAAAATGTGAGGGGAAATGTAGTTCAAAGGGAAGCTTGTTTTGGTGCAAGAACTTTTGAAACCCATGCATGGTTTTTCATAATATGCATTTTTACATAAACTTTTGCAAGACCCCTCGTATATATGAGTTTCAAAATTCATATATACTTCGTTTCCATGGATTCAGTGGTCTTTGTCTCATTGTATCTAGAGAAAATGGTCTGATTTCAGTACCATCTGGGACCTGGTGGTACCTGTGCAAAGGTAACACAGAAAGAAAAACCCCAAACCCCTCCACTCTGACTGAGCTGGGAGACCCAAGACTGCATCTCCTATCCTCCCAGACAAGGCAACCCTGGGATGAGGTGCAAACAGCAGCAGAGCCCAGCAAGGCAGGACCTGAGCCCTGCAGAAGCTCTTCATGTAGAGGAGGCTGATGCATTAACCAACAGGTCCATTAGTGGGGAGAAATAGAGCATCGAGCTCACAGAAATACTTGTGCTCATTATTCATAGTCTCCAGGAACAAGTCTCCTTGAAAACAAAAGAGCATTCGACAGTGGGATGCGCTGAGTCAGAGAAAGGCAGGCTGTAGACTCCTTTGGATAAGGTTGCACTCAGATGCATATTTTGTGGGGAGAATGGGGAAGCGGCCAAGTCAGGAGATGCCTGCCAGCTATTCAGGAGCCCCCTCTCCTGGACACTGCTGGTAACACAGTTTCCCTCCGATTTTCCTGCTGTGTCCTCAATAACCCGGTCATGATATCCATATTCCAACTTTCAGCCTTCTAAGATCAAGGTGTAAAAGTGCATTTTTTTTATTTATTTTTTGACAGGCAGAGTGGACAGTGAGAGAGAGAGACAGAGAGAAAGGTCTTCCTTTACCGTTGGTTCACCCTCCAATAGCCGCCGCGGCCGGCGCACCGCGCTGATCCGAAGGCAGGAGCCAGGTGCTTCTCCTGGTCTCCCATGGGGTGCAGGGCCCAAGCACTTGGGCCATCCTCCACTGCACTCCCTGGCCACAGCAGAGAGCTGGCCTGGAAGAGGGGCAACCGGGACAGAATCCGGCGCCCCGGCCAGGACTAGAACCCGGGGTGCCGGCGCCGCAAGGGGGAGGATTAGCCTAGTGAGCCCCGGCGCCGGCCAAAAGTGCACTTTTAAAACTGATACCAATATAGACATATTTTTTCCTAAAATATAAAGGCCTTTTTATTTCAGAAGCAGATTGTAGACATAATTACACATGTTACTGAGCATACATGATATAAAGGTTATCTTTTATAGTCTTTATATTAATCACTGAGATGGGAAGTAGAGAATATTTCCCCCAGCTTGAAGGTGATGTAACTGGATATAGCATGTCTAAGTGACTACACCGTGTTCAAAAATTTGTCTTAGCTTCTGAGTACGTACCTCTACATCTGTTCAATGTGTCTAAATCTTGCTCTCCAGTTTCTTTAAATAATAAGTCAAGTGTCATTACTTCAGAGGATGCCACTTTCTAATTTTAAAATAGCAACTGGCAGAGGGAGGGAGGTACCTGGACAGGTAGTGAGGAATTAATTCACCTTACTTTTGGCCAAAAGTAACAAAGGCACATATTCTAAGTGTTTTTTTTAATAGTTATTTATTTTATTTGAGAGGCAGAGAGACAGAAAGACGTCTGCTATTTCACTCCACAAATGCTCACGTGGCTAAGTGTGGCCTAGGGCTAAAGCCGAGAACCAAGAACTCAACTCAGGTCACCCAGATGGGTATCAGGAACACAATGACTTGAGCCATCACCAATGCTTCTCACTGTCTACATTAGCAAGAAACGGAAGTCAGGAGCCAGAGCCAGGGATCAAATCCAGGTGTTCTGATATGGGACTGGGGTATCTTTCTAAAAATCGTTTGTTTGTTTGTTTGTTTGTTTGTTTGAAAGGCAGAGTGATAGGGCAGGGGGTGGAGAGAGGAAAAGACAGACAGAGAAAGAGATCTTCTATACACTGGTTCACTCCCTAAACGGCTGCAATGGCCCAGGCTTAGCAAGGCCAAAGCCAGGAGCTTGCACTTCATCCAAGTCTCCCACATGGAAGCAGAGGCCCAAGCATTGGGCCATCTTTCACTGTTTTCCCAAGTGCATTAGCAGGGGGCTGGATTGAAAGTGGTGTCTCTGGGACTTGAAACGGTACTGCTCAATAGGGGATGCTGGCAATGTAAGTGGCAGCTTAACCACCCCCTGTGCCATAATGCCAGCCCCAACATGGACATCTTAACTGCTGGACCACACACCTGCTTCCCATGTTCTGGATTTTCAAAGACAATGATAATTTCTGCTAAGGTGATGTCTTTAATAAGTCAAGGTATAAAGTGCTTAAGGAAAGGTAACAGCATGAATCTATATGAAAGACCTTTTTTAGGAATAATTTTAAAGACCGGAATGCACCCTTTGTTTGGGCAATCAGTTGGTTTTAAGTTAAAACAATACGTTCACTGGAATTCAGACTTACTCGTAGAACTACTTCCAAAAATCAAGATCCTCCACTAAGGAGCATCCTTCCAGGGTCATGTGCTTGCAGTATATTGGCTCACGAGATGCGTTCTTGACCTTAGAACTCTTTGCGCATTGTACCTTTGCTATATTGTATTTGTGGGATTCCAGAATGTCCATCCGATAAACCTCTTCACCATTTGATGCCAAGCCATCATCATACACCACCTAAAGCACGTGCTGTTTCCTCATCCTCTTTGCAGTCCAAGTCCTTGGGAGATAGTAAGAACCGCCATAAAAAGCCTAAGGACCCCAAGCCGAAGGTGAAGAAGCTCAAATACCACCAGTACATCCCCCCAGACCAGAAGGCGGAGAAGTCCCCTCCCCCCATGGACTCGGCCTACGCGCGGCTGCTCCAGCAACAACAGCTGTTCCTACAGTTGCAGATCCTCAGCCAGCAGCAGCAGCAGCAGCAGCAGCAGCAGCACCGATTCAGCTACCCTGGGCTGCACCAAGGCCAGCTCAAGTAAGTGGGAGAGCCTGGGAGGGTGACTGTGGGCAGAGGTTGGCATGACTTCTCTCTGTCCAAGGCACACAGACCCAGCCCCCTGGGAACCCAGCAAGTCCTGTATTGCTGAGTTTGAGATCTGAGTCCATTTAGAGATCATACATATGCCTCTTTAGGACCATAATGCTGGGAGGAAGGAAGTCAATCCATGCCTGGTGGGAAAAAGGAGAGTATTAGCACTTCCAAATGGAACTGTGATACACCTAGAGAGGAATTAGTTCTCACGTTCTGTAGCACAAGTGAGATAACTACAACCATTTATGATATATTCAAAGCTAGAGGAGGCTGGAGGTTTTCAACATGTAAGAGGAGTCTTCAGAATTCAGAGAATGCATATTATGAAAAAGATTGTGCGTGGATTTCAAATTTTTGCCCCAAAAGAAACTCATCTCTTGAATTCCACTTTTCCATGTACCTGATGAAGTGCCCTCATAGAGATAAGTGTTTAGGTAGATGACAATGTTAGCAATCCTGAGTAGTGGATCACCACACATTGTATACGTGTGTGAAATTAGCATTCGGTACCCTGCAAATATTATGTGTCAACTGAAAGTAAAAATAGGGAAATAGTGGAATTGTGAGCAATTCCAGGACACTTCTGCTTTGGGAAGTCACAGAGTTAAACAGCTGAATGACAGCCTCCAAAATCAACTACTGAGCCAGGGTTGTGTGACCACAGTGCTGGGTCACCTTCTCAGTGGTCAACAACCTGACCTGTGAAGTTGGGATGTGGGTTTCCTTGCCTGTCTCTTGCTCATCCTAAGGCCATGCTGGCAATCAGGTTGAGTGCTGAAGGCAACTGAGCTCCAGCCCCTATAGGACAAAGTCATGCTCCAGTATCCCCAGGATAGAACATGCTCTAGCTCCATACCTCCACCCCTAGGACAAAAGCACGCTTAAGTGTCCCCAGGTCAGGGTGTGCCCTAAGCTCCCCTCTCCAGGGAAACAGCACACTCAAGTGTCCCCAGCCCAGGACAAGGGTAAGATCCAGTTCCCCCGCTCCTATCCCCACCCCCAGACAACACTTTGGCTCCGTCATAGAAGATGAGCACTCTGCCTTATACCAAAGTCTCCACCACTCCCTGTTGGTTTCCCACTAAGAAGCTCCAGCTTCATATGCCATTCACCATGTGGTCTGTCCCGTTGTGTTTCCTTCCCCAACCTCTTCTGCTGACTTACTACAGGCCTGATCCTTATAGGCAATTACTCTGTGCACTGATATAAATGCAGGTTACCCCATACATATTTGATTGTATCTTAAGCGCGTCTTTGTTTTTTTAGAGAACCAAGCGAACAGATGGTCAGAAATCCAAGCTCTTCTTCAACACCAATGAGCAATACCCCTCTGTCCCCTGTCAAGAACAGCTTTTCTGGACAAACTGGTGTCTCTTCTCTCAAACCAGGCCCACTGCCACCTAACCTGGATGACCTGAAGGTAGAGGATTTGACATGATTTTTCTCTTGTGTACAAATTGAGCAGTATATCATTAACAACATCTTTGCCATCTGAGTACAAGAATGAGAAGGGGGAGAAGGGGAGGATTCAAAAGGGTGACAGAATTTATGCAACCGTGGTTGAAGACCCCACAGAGCAAACAAACCCCGTCAGCCTCATGCACAGCTTTCCCAGGCTGTGGAAGCTTGGGCTGCTTCGGATACTTTTCCACGTCTCTGATTGCTTGTTTGCATACATGACTTATTGTGACAGTGGAATAGAATAGCAGGCAGAGCCGGCACCGCGGCTCAATAGGCTAATCCTCCGCCTTGTGGCGCCGGCACACCGGGTTCTAGACCCGGTCGGGGCACCAGATTCTGTCCCGGTTGCCCCTCTTCCAGGCCAGCTCTCTGCTGTGGCTCGGGAGTGCAGTGGAGGATGGCCCAAGTGCTTGGGCCCTGCACCCGCATGGGAGACCAGGAGAAGCACCTGGCTCCTGCCATCGGATCAGCGCGGTGCGCCGGCCGCGGCAGCCATTGGAGGGTGAACCAATGGCAAAAAGGAAGACTTTTCTCTCTCTCTCTCTCTCTCTCTCTCACTGTCCACTCTGCCTGTCAAAAAAAAAAAAAAAAAGAAAAAAGAAAAAAAGAATAGCAGGAGAGTAGGTGTGAGATTGATAGAAGCCTCCAGAACATTTTAAACCTTCCAGAATGTTTTAAACCTTAACTCAGCATAAAGAGTAGGCATGAGATTGATATTAGCTTCTAGAATGTTCTAAACCATAGTGATCACCTCCATGATGAACTTTTATCAATCTCTGGCAGAATGAGAAAGGTAGAAATGACAGAAGGGGCTTTCCCTACGTTGAAGCACATTCCACATTTCTTTTTTTTTTTTTTTTAAGATTTTATTTATTTATTTGAGAGCTAGAGTTACAGACAGTGAGAGGAAGAGATAGAGAGAAAGGTCTTCCATCCATTGGTTAACTCTCCAAATGGCCGCAATGGCCAGAGCTGCGCCGATCTGAAGCCAGGAGCCAGGTGCTTCTTCCTGGTCTTCCATGTGGGTGCAGGGGCCCAAGCACTTGGGCCATCTTCTACTGCTTTCCCAGGCCATAGCAGAGAGCTGGATCAGAAGAGGAGCAACCGGGACTAGAACTGGTGCCCATATGGGATGCCAGCACTGCAGGCAGAGGATTATCTTACTGCACCATGGTGCCAGCCCCTCCACATTTCTGAGTACATATTCATTCAGAGTATATATGCCCTTCCAATGTTTTGAATTTTGAATATCCTTCCCACGAGAAGATGATGATGATGGTAATAGATGAAAATTGAGTTTTTTCATAAGCTTTTTATTATTATTATTATTATCATTATTTGACAGGTAGAGTTAGACAGTGTGAGAGAGAGACAGAGAGAAAGGTCTTCCTTCCGTTGGTTCACCCCCCAAATGGCCGCTACGGCTGGAGCTATGCCAATCCGAAGCCAGGAGCCAGGTGCTTCTCCTGGTCTCCCATGCGGGTGCAGGGCCCAAGCACTTGGGCCATCCTCCACTGCACTCCCGGGCCACAGCAGAGAGCTGGCCTGGAAGAGGAGCAACCGGGACTAGAACCCGGTGCTGCAGGCGGAGGATTAACCAAGTGAGCCACGGCGCCGGCTCCCATAAGCTTTTATTCATTCCTTTTTGTTAAATAAGGGTATTATTTAATAAGGATCTTAGTACTTATTGAACGAGATAAAATGTTGATAACCCAGTGTTATTCATACACTATACATTGTATTGTTTTTTACTGTGGAATCCTCAGATTAGGGAGCTTCTGCCCTGAAGCATCTCCTTGTTACATAAGTGTGTGCTGGTAGCTCACTCCACATCAGAGACCACAGAGATCTCAGCTCACTGAAGTGATGTTGAACTTTACGTTGAACCTGGTGTACTTCAAAGAAGTCCTCAGAATTGGCACGTTTGTGCATCCTGCATCACCACAAAACCATAAAGAAGAGTACCAGGCCCTTCAGCTTTCTCTAACATGTGAATACAATTCCTCACCCCATTTTTAGCAATTCCACTTGTTTGCCTGGTTTCTGCCCTACCCATTCTTCACCCCAAAAGATCTTAACATTTTCCCCCCAAATAAACCAAATTCCTATAACCAATCTGATGGCCCTCCCTCAGTCCTCGCTCTCACCTCATTCCCATTCATCATTGGTGGGAGAAGGTAGGACTGGGGCTATTTGAAAGGCTCTTTATGGCTGCCAGCTGTCAACACCAGTAAATAAAATGTTGTGTGGGTCCTGATACTAAAGGTTCCTCTAGTCTTTCCACTTGGATTAAAAAAGGCTTAGATTTCATTGAGCTTGTTTCAATTTGGCATCCATACACCTAGAAGAAGATGCCAAGCTTGGGATAATGCTCTCCAGAGCTGTGGGTCACCCACCCTCCATTCCCCAGGTCATAAATCCATGGAGATAAAAGGAGGCAACCTCACCTTGTAAACATTATGCTAAGTGAGACAAGCCAGACACGAAGGGATGCATATTGTATGAGTCAACGTGTTGGAGGCACCTGGACGAGGCAGATTCATAGAGACAGGAAGTAGACTGCTGGCCACCAGTGGATGGTGAAGAGAGAGACATTAGGGAGCTGCTATCCAATGCATACAGGATTTCAGTGTGGGAAGATGGAAAAGTTCTAGAGATAGGTAGAGGTGATGACTGCAGTACACTGTCAACGTTCTTACCATACACTTACAAATAGTTAAACAGTAAACTTCATGTTTACTTTACCTCAATAAAAAATTTAAGGTAGACTCTCTTGGTGGTGGTGGGTAGGGGGAGAACCCTGGGTCAAGATGCTTAGTCCTGAGAGTGAACATAGTCCAGATATGCTAGTGCCATTGTTCAGAATGCCCAAAGGTGATTCCCCCCATGTGAACACGTTCAGAGTCATTGACTGGGGGTAATTGTAATAACTAGTATCATGTAAGAGAATAGTGGTGATGGTGATGGTAACTATGAGTTTTTTAATATAAACTATCAGTCAGCAATTCTATAAGATTTGATTTCATTTTTATCCTGTAAGATTTCACTTTGAAAAGTGATAATAAAAATCAGAATCTTAAAGAGGCTAACAACAGGCAAGTTGACCATCTCACAAGTGACCATCTTAGAAAAATTGGGCTTGAACTTGAATTATCTCAAGGGCATCCCATCATCATTAGAGATGAAATTGAAAAAGGAAAGATGGAATTAATGACTCGCTGTTTGTATGGAGAAGTTGTCAGCTGAGTCCTGGGGTGGTTACAACAATGGCAGAAACAGGGAGCCCAGAATAGGAAACTGAGTCGAAGAGTTTGTGGCAAGTTCATTCACTTTGAGAAAGTCGAATGTCAGATAACAGCAGGACAATCAAGAGAAACATCTAGTCAGTTTTTATCAGTAAGAACTATGCCCACTTGTGGCATGTGGCAGACTTTTGTCACAGTGGTTAAGACACCACTTCGGGTTCCTGCATCCCATAATGCAGTGCCTGGGTTCAAGTCCTCGCTTCTCTCCTAATTTCAGCTTCTTGTTAATGTACACCCAGAGAGGCAATAGACTCCAGAAACTTGAGTCTCTGTCACCTACATCAGAGACCTAGATTGAGTTCCCAGTTCCTGGCTTCAAGTTTAGCACAGTCTCAGCTATTGTAGACATTCGGGGAGTGAACCAGCAGATGGGAAATATCTCATTAATTAATTAATTAATTAAAAGTGATATGCCAACCTAGGTCAGCCTAGCTGTATTGTCAAGGATTGAAATAGCAGTTTTAGAGTTATGTGCAACATGGGGAGAGTTGGCATGAGAAGAGTGAATGACATGGAGGGAGAACAAAATGGAAAGAGTAGAAGGGAAGAAAGGAGAGGAACAAAGAAAGCACATGAGGCAACCAGACTGGGGGAAGGAAGAAATGAAAGGATCTCCCCAAAGGTGATCAGGGAGGTAAAACAATGAAGGTGATGTTTTCAGGAGATGTTTTGCTACATGGACAGAAAAATGAAAAGTTATTGATGGCTTTATCACACTTGGGGGGTATGACAGAGTATTCATGGAAATAGATTTAAAAGCTAAAATTTTGGTGAAAAAAATTTCAAAATCTATATATACCATTTTCATAATATGCATCTTCATGGACTATTTGAAGACTCCTCCTATACATGGACTGCAAATTTTATGCTCCAAAATAAGCTTATCTTTTGATTCATTTTCATGAACCTTTTGAAGTACTCTCATGTATGGATTTTTTTTGCACCCTTTTTCTTTTTTTTTTTTTTTTAATTTTTTTTTTAAACTTTTATTTAATGCATATAATTTTCCAAAGTACGACTTATGGATTACAATGGCTTCCCCCCCATACCGTCCCTCCCACCCACAACCCTCCCCTTTCCCATTCCCTCTCCCCTTCCATTCACATCAAGATTCATTTTCTATTATCTTAATATACAGAAGATCAGCTTAGTATACATTAAGTAAGGATTTCAACAGTTTGCTCCCACACAGAAACATAAAGTGAAAAATAATAGATGATTTTTTTAAATGATGATGAAATCAGAGCAGACCTATTGTCATGTTTAATCCCAGTGAGAGTCAAGTTGGGAATTGATAATTTCATTATTTTTTTTTTTCTTTTTCTTTTTTTTTTTTTTTTACAGAGGATCAGTTTAGTATGCATTAAGTAAGGATTTCAACAGTTTGCACCCCCATAGAAACACAAAGTGAAATATATTGTTTGAGTACTCGTTATAGCATTAAATCTCAATGTACAGCACATTAAGGATAGAGATCCTACATGAGGAGTAAGTGCACAGTGACTCCTGTTGTTGACTTTACCAATTGACACTCCTGTCTATGGCATCAGTAATCTCCCTATGCTCCAGTCATGAGTTTCCAAGGCTATGGAAGCCCTCTGAGTTCTCCGACTCTTATCTTGTTTAGACAAGGTCATAGTCAAAGTGGAGGTTC